TGAGGTGACCATTTGTCTGTGGCGGGAACCATCGCAGGCTTGGACACACTGCTAGCAGAAGGTAAGATAAATTTCACTTTTTAACATGTTTAAATTTGAATAACTTTGTATAAATAATATCTGTGATGTACATGAATATGTGAAGAAGCATATTTGATTGAGTAAAGACACTTTTTGTCTTTATTTATATAGTAAAAGTGTAGTTTTCCATTCGTTGCCTGAACAAAAACATTCTCATGGATGGAGATGTGCAGGGATGCATAGTTATCACCATGATCAATTTTTTTTGCTTTACTATCTACTATTACTCACAGGAAATGTATGCTCAAACATTTTATGGGTGTAAGGAAGTTGATCGAGCAGTTAGGCTTCTTCCTTCTGACAGTGAGGACAGTGAGCCTGAGGAGAGTGACAGTGAGGAAGAGTGGACCCAAGAATCAGGTTTGAGGGAGAATAAGGAGATCAGGATTCAGTCAGTAGAGTAACATACTGTATGTAATGAACATGCATATGTGTGTGTGTGTGTGTGTGTGTGTGTGTGTGTGTGTGTATGTGTGTGTGTGTGTGTGTGTGTGTGTGGCGTGTGTGTGTGAAGAGAGGTGTATGACTTATTCTAATTTTAATCTTCCCTTTTGGAACAGATGGTCTATCTGATGACAATGAGTCTGTGGATGAAGAGGAAAGATGAAGTTGATGATGATGCATCAGAGGAAGATGTTCCACACTTACCCCGGTGGAGAACACCCCACAGCGCCAACATCACTGATTACCCAGAATGTCATCCTTCCTGATTAGTACATGTCTCACTATTGGTCTTTATTTTGTAAATAATTCTGCAATGACCACTGTCCACACTCTGCCAGTCACCTCCCAGGCTTGAGGTACTAACATTTAATCCAAAAGGGCAATGGGTGCACTTACTTACAGTGGGTGCATCATCAGTTTATTGATTATTTATTTTAATTTTGAGTGAATTACTAAGGCTCAGTGTGTTCCTCATAGTATTTGTTGAAATTGTTGTTATTATAAATAAAACTTATTCCAATAACCAAATAGGTCTTATGATAATAAAATGTTTCTGTATTATTAAGTCAATGGATTTCTTTCCCAATGATAAACGCTAACACATTTTAAGTAGTCAATATAAAAACATATAACTCTATATATACATTTTATCACTTTGTTCTTAAGCTCAAAATGTGCTTTATAGATAAAAATTATTAGAGAGTTAGCCTCTTTCAGCCACTACCTTAGTTAATGTACTTTGTGTTTTGGTTGTTTCTTTCCAGTAATCAATATATTTTTCTTTTGGTTTGGTGTGATTGAGTTGGTGCTGCTGTCCTGAGGCTGTTGGGGACATGTTACTGCAGAGAGCCTCAGGACCAGCTGGCTGAGGGGACTCTTCTCTGGTTTCTGGTATGTTAGGGCTTTGTGATGGTATGTCTGGGGGTTAACTGATTTTAAGTGATTGTAAAATTTAATTGATCTTTTCTGTATTTTTAGTAGGAGGGGGTATTGGCCGAGTTCTGCTCTGCACAGATTATTTGGTGTTTTTCTCTGCACCTGCAGGATGCTCTTACAGAACTCGCTGTGGAAAGATTATATGGTTGTTTTGTCCCGTTTGTCAAATTCATTATTTAGTTTTGGTCCCCGGATTTCGCTGCCATATAGAATTATTGGTTCTAGTACAAATTGGAAAATGTTAAGCCTGATTTTGATTGGAATATAGATATTAATGTTTCTCTTTATTGCACAGAAAGCTCTCCTTGCTTTGTCCCTCAGATCTTTCACAGCCATGTTGAGGTTTCCTGTGTATGTCATGTTGAGGCCAAGATAAGTGTAGTTTTTTTTTGTATGTTGTAATTAAGTGATGTCTAAATAGAAATTGTGTATAACCTGATTTCTGAGAAGAAGAACGCTGTTTGTTTGTTTCCAATCTTTACGGCACATTCACTTTTTGTATACATGTTCTTAATCAGATCATATGTTTTTCCTCCAATGCCGCTTTCAAGTAGCCTATAGAAAAGGCCCTCGTTCCAGATGGATTCAAAGGCTTTTCTGAAGTCAATGAAACAGGCATATACCTTCCTTTTCTCAACATTTTTGATCAATTAAAGTCTGGAGGGTAAATATATTTGGCATTTATGCAGAATATTGTGGTCATCAAGAAAGTTGACAAGTCATTTATTAATGATGTTGCAGAATATTTTTATTATTTTTATTATTATTATTTATATATTATATTATATTACAGAGTAATACATTTCCCATGGTTTTATAATGGTTAACTTCCTCCTCAAGAACAGAGAAAATATCTGGGTAGGGGGATTCTGATGGAGGTATAAAGACGGCACACGTGTAGACATGTTGCTCAGCACAAATAATCTTTTTATTAATTTTCAACCATATATAAGATTCTTCTTTTTTAATAACTGTGATAGTTTACACCATATAATCATGCCTCCTGAATCTCTGCCTTGGGTTATTGTGGGATGTTTTGTTGATGGTATAATAATCTCAGTGTAGCCGTGAAGATTACGACCAGTGGAAACATCTTCTCTGCACCATGGCTCCTGTAAAACTAGAGTATTTTAACTCTCTGTTAAAATCTGAATTTCTGCTCTTTAAACCAAAAGCTGAAGATCTCAGAGCTTGAATGTTCCAACATGTTATTGTAAACGATTTCATCTCCAAGTGTGATCCGTTCAAACACCTTAAAAGAAAAATAATAATAATAATAAACTAGATATTAAAAAATAATAATAGAAATAAATAGAGAAAAAAAAGTGTAAAAAGACAAAAAATAGTATAGTAAGTAAATTAATAAAATATTAAACTTTGGAGTTTTGTGTGAAATACTGTTAAGAATTGTCCTTAAATTACTATTAATTTAAAATGATACACTGATAGGCAGTGGGGACTGCATTCCTGTGTAGGTGTATGTTATCATACAGGCAGTCCAGGTGGAGAGAAGGTAGGCAGCTTATTATTTTATTGTATATCAGGCTGCAAGAAGAGTTTAAATTAAAGGAAAATACAAATTCACCTTGAAGTCACACACGTTAGAATGAAGCTCTTCAAGTACAGTGAACACAACATCTTATGAAAGGACAAATAATTATATAAACACTAATAAATGAATGTAGAAATATTTAAATACAGAAATTTTGTATTTTTACATTAATTATTTATTTTAAGAATTGTATCCTGACATTAAATAAAGTAAATTTATTGTATAATTAACTGCAAAACATTTTTATTTAAACACCAAAAACCTTCAGTAAATATATTTTTACAAAGTGAGGAGGAGGAGGAGGAGTGCACATTGGTCTTTTTTTAATTATTAATACAGGCAGAACAAACAAATATATATTAATAAACAACAATAAACAAACAAAGGGGATCCATTTAATTATTAAAGAGAAACATTTAGAGAAATAAAATAAAACTATATAATGCTGTTCTCACTGTCTCCGTGTTGGTCCTTGCTCCTCTCCTCCAGGTGGAGTCGCTGTAGCAGCAACACACTGAACCGGTTTGTGGAGGTTCTGAATGGGAACCAGAACCTGAAGAAGCAGCGGTACCATATAAAGAGGTGGTTGTGGACCGTGTGTGTTGTGGCAGCAGTTTGTTGAACAGTAGAAAGAGTGTAAAAAGACTGGGTCCCGCTGTATTACTCAGGCTGCACTACAGCGTCTATTCACAGGCGCGATCCCACTACTGAGCGGCACGGGGGCTTTGACCTGCTCCGTTTCCGACCTGGGCCGGTGCACCCCTCCTTAGACGACCTGGTGGTCCCGGGCTCCCCCAGGAGCACCATATCGATACCGAACTTAGTGCGGACACCCGATCGGCATAGTCCGCTGCAGCTCAGAGCTCCTGAGCTCAATCGATCCGCCAGCCTCAGCCTCCCGGTAGCTTGGATTACAGGCGCGCGCCACCGCACCCGGCGAGGATCTCACGAGCTCATCGGGCTTTTATCATGTACGCAGGTGACGTCATCGAACCGTTATGGTGACCTCTAGTGACGTAAAGCGGCAACTGCTTCAAATAACAAACAGACGTCATCGTGAGAATAATTCACTGTAACAGAATATTAATAATAATTATAATATGATGATTATGATAACAAAATAATAATAATAATAATAATGATAATAATAATAATAATAACGATAATATTAATAATAATTACAATATGAGGATTATGATAACAAAATAATAATAATAATAATAATAATAATAATAACGATAATATTAATAATAATAATAATAATAATAATAATGATAATATTAATAATAATTATAATATGATGATTATAATAACAAAATAATAATAATAATAATGATAATATTAATAATAATTATAATATGATGATTATAATAATAATAAAATAATAATAATAATGACAATATTAATAATAATTATAACAGCATGATTATAATAAAATAAAATAATAATAATGCTAATATTAATAATAATTATAACAGGATGATTATAATAATAAAGTAATAATAATAATGCTAATATTAATAATAATTATAACAGGATGATTATAATAATAAAATAATAATAATAATGCTAATATTAATAATAATTATAACAGGATGATAATACTACTACTACTAATAATAATATTAATAATAACTATAACAGGATGATTATAATAATAAAATAATAATAATGCTAATATTAATAATAATTATAACAGGGTGATTATAATAATAAAATAATAATAATAATGCTAATATTAATAATATAATAATGCTAATATTAATAATAATATAATAAAAATAATGCTAATATTAATAATAATATAATAATAATAATTATTATAACAGGATGGTTATAATAATAAAATAATAATAATAATGCTAATATTAATAATAAAATAATGATAATATTAATAATAATATAATAAAAATCATGATAATATTTATAATATAATGATAATATTAATAATATAATAATGATAATATTACAAATAAAATAATAATGATCCAATCCAATCCAACTTTATTTGTTAAGCACTTTAAAACCACCAAAGTTGACCAAAGTGCTGTACAGGAGAATAAATAAGACATCATAAATAAAAGACATAACAGCTCACATGAGATGCAAAATTACATATAAAATACAACAATAAAATGAAAAGACAATCATGTTTTAATAGTTAAGTAACTCTGACTGTTCCTCAGAGATCCATTTATAAAGTAAGCCGGCCTCTCTTAATACGGGAGGTTTCTGTTAAATATTGATTTAAAATAAGCACAATGCTAAAAATACAAAGTCACTGTAATTATACTGAACACATATTAACTCATTCCTAAGTTCATAATTAATTTCTAGGCTGTATTCGCTTCAGAAAAGGTTAATTAAGAAAGTGAGCTGGAGTTTAACCTTCAGATTCAGATAAGAAAACATATCAGTCGTTCTCACTTATTTTACCGTATCTCGTTCAGTGCTTATCTTGTAAATACTATTTAAAGACATGGATGTTTAAAGATCACAGAGTTTTACAGCAAACCTTTTTCTTTAAGGGCCCCTGACTGGGTGACATATTTTAATATAACAATAACAGTTTATAAACTGTACAATGAACCCAAACAGAGAACTCAGTGACTGCAGCACGTTTGTGTCCAATGATTGATTTGGATGAATTTTGAGCAGATCATTTATTCAGATATGTTTTAAGTAACTGTAAATAAATATATATGAACTGTATATTATGTTTTTGTTTGTTTTTTTAACTATTATTCAGACTTAAAAGGCTTCTATTTGACAAATTCAGTGTTTTATTCTCCTTGTGCTATCAGCTCTTTGGTTGTGGGAACTTTTCTAATACAGGATGAGGATGTTTATCAGAGGTTAAAGGCTCTGTGAATTCAGCTTGTGTTCATGTCTTCAAAGTTTATATCTTAAATAATAATTTATAACTTAGAAAGAAAAAAAACTATTTCATTTAGTTTTATTTACAGAATTTAATTTAAAAAAGCTGAGATATAAGCCTACTGTGTGTATTTTTTAGGTTTTCTTCAACCCCTTAAAACCAAGAAGGCCTTGTGTTCCCCTGTGAAGCTCTGGTGACCTGTAGTGGGGGTCCCGACCCCCAGATTGGGAACCACTGATTTAAAACCAACCATTTACTTTACAGCTGTAAAATGGAAATATGCTCCAAATGCTGATCATGTTTCTTATGATAAAAGCTATAATTATGTTGCAGCTCTGGGATATTGAGGTGAACCAACCTCTGTGTCATTGATAAAATTCTGTTTTTTACTACAGCAAGTAAAGACACTCAGTGCGGCAGCCATTTTTACTGGGACAGTTCGTTCTTCCATTGTTGTTTGAACACTTTGTGAACACATTGCAGGAACTGAACTTCCTTCCTCCTGAAACCTGCAAACACTTAAACTTTGGCAAACTACATTTTACCATTACAGAAAAGGTTTGACGTGATTTAAGGGTTTCATCTGACATTTGATTCATTAAAATAACTTTACAACATCAAACATGATATATGGGATATTATTTGTTTTAAAAAAAATAAACATAAACAAAATAATGTACTTGACATGTTTCAGTTTTATGTTTCAAACATCATAAAGTTGACACACAGAAAGACACATTACAGCATTAAAGGCAGGATCCACTGTGTGCTGGTGAACGACGGACAAAGACTAATAAGAAAATAAATTATTCATATACTTTAATAAGCAGCTCTCTGATTTTTGGTTTACAAAGTATTTCATACTCGCAACGGACACATTTAGAGCTGGAAGGACGTTTTAGTGGCGTTACAGCGAGACAACATTCACAAGAACTCACAGCAGAGTTTTAACAACACACAAACATTTAAACAGCAATTAAAACTGTTGATTTGTTTATTATATTTCATAGTTTCTGAACCGCCGCAGCAGACTGGACGGGGAGTCAGCAGCCCAACGGAAACGTCGGTGGCAGAAATCACCTGAACAAGATAAAAACAATTATTTACATCATTGAACAACGTGGAGACACAGCAAGACGAACCCAGACGAGAGAGGAAGACTCAAAAACAGCCGGTAGAAACCTCCTTTAGAGAAACCAAAGAGTACTTTTATACTAATTATCAGTGTTTCTACTTGAGTGCAGACAGTATGTGATTGAGGACTGAACAGAGAAGCTGACTTCTGGTCAAATTCTCAAACTTCAGTGCATTTTAGTGACTGTCTGCCAAAACAAGTACGTATATTATAATATTATATAATGGCATTAATGTCACAGCACTATAGTAGTCACCCACTATGCCTTTATTGGCCACTTTAATGCTTTGCCCTCCTTATTTAGATCTTGTGTTTTGCAGTATCACACATTAACAGAAACTATCTCTACACTTTCCATCACTTTGAGACATTTTTTGAAATGTAGCTCACCCAAGGTACTGTACTTTAGTAGTTTCCTATTAGTTTTTGCTCGTTTTGGTTTAGTTTCTATTGTTTAAAGAGCTTTGGTTTTAGTTTTTATATGATATGGGAGGTATTTGTGAAGGGTAAGATTTAAGAAGTTCAGGATATGTACAATATAAACACATCCTAGTCTCAATAAACACAATAAACAAGCACCAAACCCTCCTCAGGGTTATTGTGTTTTTTACTAAAACTAAAAACATTTCCTTTCTATTTTTATTTTATTTTAGTTCAGTGTTTTCTAAAGTCTAATCTTTCCCACACCTAGTTTTATTCTATAACAACCTCGTAGCTTACTTGAGGATGGCATGGCGTCGTCTGACGAGATCTTTGGTTCAGCACAAACGTCCTCTGCTGGGGAAGCGACTGGGATTTCTGCTCTCGAGGCCTCCAACATCGGCTCCTTCTTATTTCTCACGGCCCAGTGCATTGACTGCAAACACACAACCTTCCTTAAGTTACACAGATCACACAGGGTTTGGGATAATCAATGTGGTAAAGACGTCACATACAGTTTTTACAGAGTCATTCAGTGCTTGCCAGTCATGAAAGGGAATCGTAACTCCGCTTCTTCTCCAAAGGTCGTAGTTCTTTCTTTTGGTTTCATTGCACAAAACCTCTTTGGCCTCCTGCAGCTTTTGGAAATCTGCCACTGACGGTAAAAGACAGACCAGATCAGGGTCTAAGACGCAGCATTATGCTCACCGAATTAGGAGGAATAAATACCCTCTTCTTTGCATGCACTTGTGAGCAGCTCTCCATTAACATAATTATGCTTTGAAGTCATCAGAAAGAGGCATTAACTGTTTGTGGGACAAGTTAGAAAACTGAGTTCAAAGGCAAAAAACAAAACATCACAAGAGAAGGTAATAAAAAGCTGAAAATGACTTTTAAAATATGCAAATGAGCAACAATCCACATCTCTACCTGCTCCTGGGTCGTCCAGGTGTTTGTCTGGGTGACAGGCCAAGGCTCGGATCTTGTATTCGTTGTGAATCTGTTCGGTCTGCGAGGTGAAAGATTGAATAAATATAACGTTTGCCAACATAAATATTTGAAATTCAGGAAATCGGTCACTTATTTTTATTGTGAAGGGACGTTATTCAGTGTGACTAAGAGGCCACAAAACAAAATAAAAAGCATCATTACATACAGTATGTACACAGTGATTTTATTATGAATATAATATTGATCACTTTATATTTAAAAGCATTAATTTACTGCCCTAATATTGGTAATTTTGTCATTTATTGATGCTCCCATTACTTATACTGTTGCCAGGCTCTCTACTGTTAATCATAAGAATATAAATCATTATACTGAGTCACATGAAGTTAAACATCATTAATTAAAAGCACAAATACTGCACAGACACTGGATGACGCACGACTAGACTCTCTGACATCAACAGGTCTCTGCTGGTTCCGACTAACCTCTGGAGCATCAACACATCAACCTTTTGTTATTTGGTTGAACAGCTTACAGGCTGCTGATCGTTGGCGTACACACACACACACACACACACACACACACACACACACACACACACACACCGTCTAATGTCATATCTCCCCACTCCTGAGCTGTTCAGATCGATAGCAATGTGTTTGTAGATCTAATCGATCAATAAAAATCACCCAGCACATAGGCTGGTCCTCAACTCACCGAGGACAGTTCATCGCATCCTAACAACCCGTAGTAATCCTCCAAGTCCTCTGGTTTGCGGTTCAAAACAGCCTCCATATAAAATGAGTTATATGTGGTTGGTTTCTTGTACCGGAGCTGATCCTGAACCACAGCTGGTCGGGTGAAGAGTCGCTGATGGGGGGGGGGGCTAACCCCAAAAGTTTATCTGGTGGTCAGTTTTTGTCCGGTAGCTTTTGGGGGAATTGATGGGGAAACTGTCAAACTGTTTAAAAAGGTTAAGAAATATCTCTCCTGAGTTGTGGGAGAAAATTCAGCTGTTCGTTTCTCGCCTGTGTGACGTGTGCTGCGTTCAAGGGTCGGACTGAAGCTCCCACTCTCCACGTCGAAATAAATAAATAAATAAAGTAGGAAAACATAATAAATGACCCTGTGATAGAAAGGTTTCTGGGCTATTTATTATGTGTTATAGAATAATTATCAGGGACGTACATTTATATTATGTATTCAGATGATTAAAATATAGATATTTATTATAGTCTATAATTATAATAAAAGCTAAAAGTGTGTTTGTAAAGCTGTTCGGTGTTTTTAAAGATAAAATAAAAGAAGAACATTTGAAGAGTCAGAACTGTTTTTGTCGTTAAAGGATCAGCGTGTAGGATTTAGTGGCAGCTGGTGGTGAAGATGCAGTTTGCAACCAACTGAACACTGCTCGCATCTGTATTTGATGTCCTGGGAATGTGAATGGACTGTGGGGTGTGTGAGCAAAACTCTTAAAAAGTCCTCATCTGCAGTGTTTGGTTTGTAACTGACTTGTGACTCCCTGTGAGTCAAATAGTTACTGTGCTTGTAAGGTATTTAGTTTCACTGATGACATTTATATATATACTGTATATGGTGTCATATCTATTGTCTCACTGTCTACAATTGTTATCGTTTATATATTTTATCTTTATGTATTTGTACGCAGTAGTTTATGTTTGTTGACTTTGTTGTCCTTTGTTTATTTATGCTCTTCTGTCTCTGCACATTGAGAGCAATGCAGAACTGGAGTTTTTGTGTACACATACCTGGCCAATAAAAGTGATTCTGATTTGGATTCTCACTGAGATTTTAATATTTATCAACATGGCTCACATATAACATCAGTTCATATGGAAGCCTATTTTCCCCAGTAAGAGTCAATTAGGTCAAAATCATGAGATAAAAAGTAATTATTTAATTATTTTATCTCATCATTTTGATTTTCTATTAACATTTTTTTAATTATAACTTATTTTAAATGTGCTCCGATACGTTAACGTGCGCTCCCCTTTACTGTAAATTAATCCGACGGTATTTGAACGCAGCAGTATTTTGTTATGGTTTTACGTCATCGACGTAAAAAGGGGACGTTCCAGACGTGACTACTGGTGGAGAACGAGTCACGTGCTTTATGCAAATGAGCCAGCTGTCGGAGAGGAAGGATCTGCTCAGCGGCTCTGCGGGCTGAAGATGGCGGACGGAGAGAGCAGTCTCGGAACGGCCTTTTCAGGCGCCTCCGAAATGGAAGAACCAGCCGCGAAAAGGTCGAAAATCAGTCCGTTGACTAACTACGGATTCAAACCCGCCAAAGCAGACCAGGTATCGTGTGTCTCCGGGGCCGCGGAGAGCCGGGAGGCGGCGGTGAATTGTGCGCAGCCCGCGGAGAAGGAAGCAAAGCCGGTGATGGCGGTGGAGGAGGCCCCAGCGGCGCCAGGCGGAGACAACAATGGACTGGGACTGCTGGGATCCGAGCCGCACAAACCAGTTGTGAAACTAGACGACAGCGCTGTGCTCGGGACAACCGAGGAGGCTGCCGGTAGGGAAACAGGCGGACATTTAACAAAGCTTTATGTATTTACAGCTTACAGCGGGCGGCGCTTGTTTTTAACAACTTAACCGGCGAGTGTGAAACAGAAAATGAGTTAAACTCCGGAGACTTCTGACAACAGAGACTTTAACTTGTCCTGAGTTAACGCTGTAAAGTAAAGAGGAACCGCCATTTATGGTGACTTGTTTCCTCCCTGCACTAAACTTTAATAGCAACACGTTAGTCGGTTTACATCTCTTAACCACCTCCCACTAACGTTTACGTACTCTTTTCGCCGCTGAGAGAGCGCAGCTACAACGGAGCCTGAACGCGGCGTGGCGACAAAATCTAAAGTTTGTACAGAATCCGGGTTGAAGTTATAGATTATATTGATTCCGAATTGACAAGAGGACTGTTGACCAATAACGGCGTTAAGCTTGTGTTTCTAAAGTTACGCGTTTTTACGGACACGGTAGGAATTGTTAAAATGTCACATTTCTTAAAGGGAGTTTGGTGGAGGGAGATTTTAGTTGAACTCAAACTGATATGTATAATTTCTAACGTTATGTCACCACTACAGAAACACGAGGTAACTGTTAAAGTATGATATCGTTGTCTGCTGTTAGTGTGGTAAATGGTTTGATAATGTGTGTATTGATGACTGACTCTAGTCTAATTATAAGCTTATTTAAACTTAAACTGCTTTCCTAATTAAACATGATGTGCTTCTTATTAATGAGGTTATTAATGAGGTTATTATAGCTCTTGTAGTGTGTGACCCTCCTGTTGAACTGTACAGAGATCTCACAGCTTTGAAAGTCTTGTGTGTCTGAGGCTTTAGTGGACGTTACCACACTCAAACAGGTTGCTGTGGTAATATTGATTGTAACTGATCATAGTGGGGTTTTTTTTTTTTAGAGATAAACACCACTTATTTCCAAACCTTCTCTGTGCTCAGATTTTCTTGGACATGATGATCTCCCCTCCAACGGTCTGGCTGTCACACCGGACCACATCAACGAGGACGATGACAGATCTTCACACGCAAGCTCCAGCGACTGGACTCCTCAACCGCAGATAGGTAACTACCTGAATTTAACAAAACATGTGGCTAAAATCTTGCCGGCAGCGGCTTTAAATACTCTCCTGATATCACATACAATGAATTTGCCTCTGTATGTTGGTGCATAACAATAAAACATAGTATGAGACAAAAGACACAAATATTAAAAGCCTAAATGTAGAATATGATTGTTATTTAAATGTATATCTGTACTGTTTGTTCGGGAATGTGCCACTCTCTGTGTCCAGAGATGTGCATTAATGTAACATAGATTCAGGATGGGTATAAGAATCAGTGTCAGTGGCCTTATTGATGAGGCCAGCTGCTGATTGGGAGAAACAACAGTTCTTAGGCGATGAGGTTTTGGTCCCGAACCGCCTGCCAGACGGAAGTTACTCAAAGAGTTTGTGTCTGTGGTGGGAGAGGTCAGCCACGATCTTACCTTGACGCCTCGGGGTCCTGGAGAAATGGCAGATTGCAGCCAATCAGCTTCTCGATGGTGTGAACGATGAGACTGCAGTCTGCACTTGTCCTCCGCAGCAGCGTACATGGTGATGGAGGAGGCGAGGATGGACTCGATGATGGTTGGTTTGGCAGGTTGAACCTCCTCAGCTGCTGCAGGAACTACATCCTCTGTGTTTTGGTGAGGTCCTGGGTGATGATGGTGCCCAGAAAGCAGAACTCAACAGTGTTGATGGTGGCAGGTGGTGCTGGATCCACAAACATCTCCACTGTCTTTAAAGCGTGGATCTCTAAGTTGTGGGTCAATCTCCCCCCTGTAGGCGGACTGAGATCATATTGTATAAACTACATTATTATTGCAGGCAGTGACACAACATATACATTTTGTTTAGGTCATGCTGAGATGTTGTATTCTTGGACAGGTTCCTACAGTTTCATCCAGCAACACATCAGAGAGACCGATCCGAGGACCATCCTGCGGGATTTGCTGCCGGAGACCGTGCTCCCGCCGGATTTAGACGACATGACGTTGTGGCAGATCATCATCAACATCTCAGAACCTCCAAAAAGAAAGAAGCGGAAGGATATCAACACCTTAGAAGACGTAGTCCGGCTACTCCATGAAAGCAAAAGGATCCTTGTGCTGACTGGTGCTGGGGTATGTGTTTACAGTGGTGTTATACTCATGTGTTTGAGTGAATACATTGTACCAGTGTTCATGTTATTAAATCAGAATGTTTTGTTTGTGTTTTGTTGCAGGTGTCAGTTTCATGTGGAATACCAGACTTTCGCTCCAGAGATGGGATTTACGCCCGGCTTGCTGTAGATTTTCCCGATCTTCCGGACCCTCAAGCTATGTTTGACATTGAATACTTCAGACGGGACCCAAGACCCTTTTTCAAGTTTGCTAAGGTTTGTTCATTGGGTCCAAATCAAAGCTGATAACGACACATTGAAGTAGTTTGATCGAAGATAATCCAGGCTTATTAAACATCAACAAAGACTTCAAAAATAAAAGTTTTCCAGATAAAGAAGTGTTTTAGAACGCTCTGTATTTGAGTGCACACGTGTTGAATGCATCCTCTTTGTTACAGGAGATCTACCCTGGTCAGTTCCAGCCTTCACCCTGTCACAAGTTCATATCTATGCTGGATAAACAGGGAAAGCTGCTGCGCAATTACACACAAAACATCGATACGTTAGAACAAGTGGCTGGAGTCCAGCGGATTATCCAGTGTCATGGTACGTGATACAGCTAATAGATTGAGCCTCCTTACTTTTATATAGTTCTGTCCGAGGTGATGGCGAAGAGTCATTAATAACCTTTTATTCCAGGTTCTTTTGCAACTGCATCCTGCCTCAACTGTAAACACAAAGTGGACTGTGAGGCTATAAGGGAAGACATCTTTAATCAGGTATTTATTCATTACAAACTGATCCACAATAACACGTTTACATGCACTATACTCTACTGTAGTTTCCCACAGCCCCCTGAATCCTATTACATACACTTTTGTACACATTAAGCAACGCCTGCAGCAATGTAAATGAAAATACACAACAAAGTGTCCAACAACATTCAGCATTTTATGGTTAATATATGTAAACAAATCCTTTGTGTGCCAACTGGAGTAGCACAGATCCATTGCAGCGGCGGTGTACACATGAACAAATTGGAGTGAATTGACCCTTATTACATTGAAGATATAAACAGAAAGAAACAGCCATTATTGTTTTTATTTTTTATTATTTGGGGGGGGGTTTTTATTTTTTAAAGCCCCCCCCCTCCTAAAAGGGGGGTGGGGAAGGTGGTTTTTCACCAAAAAAGATGCAAAGATGGACAGACTTTGATGCTCTTTAAGCAGTTTAATGTTTTTTTTTTCTTCACCTTTTTTAAGAGAAGCATGACAGCAAGGTTTTGAGAAACACTTCAGTTGTGTTTGTAGTGTGTTTATTGTTACTCGTGTAACCACATCGTATTGTAAATCTATATTAATGTCATCAGTATTGTCCAGACAAGCATCAACCAGTGCTTTAATTATCTCTACAGACGACTTTGAGTCTTGGGAGTTGTATTGATTACAGTGCCAGAATCATTATATTACATTTCATTAGTTTTTAGTTTTATTTAGTTTTTGTTTTTTATTTTTATGTTCATTTCATTTTCCAGAGTGGAGCTTGTTTCAGTTTTATCCTTACTGTTTAAAAATGTTTAGTTTTTATTAGTTACAGTATTTTTTATTATAACATGGGGCTAATTGTCAGATTTAAGTCCACAATAGGTATTCCAACACATTTCCTGTATATCCTTATGGTTATTTTAGTTTAGTATTGTTTCAGTTAGTTTTAGTTTTTAGTTTAGCTTTAGTTAACTATAATAAGCTCGATAAGCAGCCTGTTCATTCACATTAACACACTGTGAATAATACTTGTAGCAGCAGAAAATCCTTTACATTCAACACCAAAACTATTTGCTTAACTCGATGCTGCGAGAGGAGAAAGGAAAATGTGTATTGATTTATTTTTTATTTTGTAATTTGGGTGTTTTTTATGTCATGAACATGTTTGAACTGTGATATGTGGTTTTCAGCTCCAGCACAAACTGATGCAGTGATATCCAGAGAGAATGATACGAGACATACCTTTTAAATAAACACCTCTTCCCAAAGATATTGCACCATCCATCAATGTATGACAATCAGTTAACTGTGGAAGTAAATCAAAGGTACCTCGATGCTCCTTTTAACACACAACATTGTGTCATAATGCTATAAAATCCTTTCGTCCTGCAGGTTGTCCCTCGTTGTCCGCGGTGTCCAGATATTCCTCTGGCGATCATGAAACCCGACATCGTCTTCTTCGGGGAGAATCTTCCAGAGATGTTCCACAGAGCCATGAAGCAGGATAAAGATGAGGTGGACCTCTTGATTGTCATTGGCTCTTCGCTTAAAGTCCGACCAGTTGCCCTCATCCCAAGTACGTTCTGTTTTATTTTCTGTAAGTAAACAATAACCGATATGTTTCTGTGCTGTGAACAAACACCTAACCGTTTTCTCTTCGGCCCATTCAGACTCCATTCCTCATGAAGTGCCTCAGGTCCTGATCAATAGGGAGCAGCTGCCTCACCTCAACTTCGACGTGGAGCTACTCGGCGACTGTGACGTCATTGTGAACGAGCTCTGTCACCGGTTGGGTGGAGACTTTGAGCAGCTCTGCTACAACACTGTAAGACTCACTGAGATCACAGAGAAACCCCCCCGGTTGCCAGAACAGCCACCAAGCGAGGCCTTGCCTGCTTCCAGCGACGCGGCTCAGGAGGAGCAGAAGCAGCACAGTACAGACTCCGTAACTAAGCCTTCAGAGGAGACGCAAAGTCCCAATGTCACAGAGACTGCCGGTAATGGTGTTACACCTCCAGAGCCTTGTCCAAATGCCCAGTGTCCCAGTGAGGAGACGGCTGAGCCTTCAGAGTTATCAGCAGAAGACACACCAAAGGAGGAGGCCACCGAAGTAAAGAGCCAAACCTCCAACCTTGAATTTCGTCGGCGATGCTGGATGAGTCGAGTCAGCAGAAGTCCAATCAGCAAACGCCTTGAGAGTAAGCTTTAGACCGTGGTAGAGAGAGACAGTATAAACTATATATATATATTATTCTGATGTATCTTAGAGTGAGACATGGGTGTGTTTTTAAAGGTCCAGTGTGAAACACTTTGGATGATCTGTTGGCAGAAATAAAATAAGTAAGTTTTCATTAGTGTATAATCACGTGAACATAGGAATCGTTGTGTTTTTGTTTCCTTAGAATTAGATGTTTTTTATCTACAGACATCGCAGGTCCACCATGTTCAACCACCATGTTTCTACGGTAGCCCAGAACAGACAAACCACACACTGGCTTTAGATTGGGACTTTTGAGAGTTTTGTGGCCACTGTAGTTTCTCCAACCCGTTCTCATTCCCTGGTTGTCAAATACAGATGTGAGCGGTGTCTCCAACTTCACCACTAGATGCCACTAGAATCGACACACTGGCCCTTTAAACAGGGTACCATCCCATTCATCCCATTTAAGGTCCAGTGTGTAGGATTTAGTGGCATCTAGCGGTGAAGATCCAGATCGCTACTCCCTCGCCTTCCGAGCAACAACCCCTATCGAGAACCAGTGTTTGATTTGTCCCTTCTGGGCAGCTGTAGAAACCTGGTGGACTCCATGGAAGTGATCATACACTAATAAAAACATACGTATGAATATTAGATTCAATTTCTGCCAATAGATCCTCCTAAATGTTAAACTGGACCTTTAAAAATTAAAGCGTTTCTTTTCCTATAATTATAAATTCTGAAGACGTTGAGTCGATTGACTGTAAATCGTTGTGCATTGTTTCCCACAGCAGGCCAGTACCTGTTCCAAGCACCAAATCACTACATCTTCCACGGGGCCGAGGTTTACTCCGACTCTGAAGATGAGACGTCGAGCTCCTGCGGGAGCGACACCGACGAGTCCGAGTGCAGCGCAGATGGCGCGGACGAAGACAGCGAGCTGGAGGAGGCCAGCGCACTCGCGGCGGGCGGAGACACACGCCTCAGAGACACAATACAACACACTTTAGCCAATGAGGCCGCATCGAGTGTGCAGACAGACAGTACTTCTGAAACAACTCAGAGCACCACACACCTTTAAATGTAAAGTACCCAGTCGACAAAGCACTAATTGTCTTTTTTTATATATATATATATATATATATATATATACAGTATATATATATGTTTCGTATATTTTTGACTCATCAACCTTACTATTATTTTTCATAAAGCTGAAATTGCGTGACAACTTTGTGTGAATATGCAGAAAGTTTGTTGTTTTTTTTTTGGGTCACATTGTGTCTGAAACCTCATATTGTGTACTACTTACTAAATAGAACGCAGTAGCTTTTTAATTATTATTTCTTTCCATGTGCTCATCTCATCTCGCGTTCACAGAAATGTAGCTTGATGCCGTCATCCGCTGCGACGTACCACGAATGCAACACTAGATTAAGCTTTAATTTCCTAAATTGCAGTCATTACGAGCAAAGACATCAAATGTCTGTTCACGAGTGTGACGTCAGCTGTGGGTCTAATGATGTTTTACAGTTGGTTCATGTTACCGTCGGGGGGGGCATGTAAATATGTACGCCTACTGCCAGCTAAATAGTGGGTACTAATGAGTTTCAGACACATTAATCTAAAGATGGTTTACTTGAACGAATTGTCTAACTCGCAATATAAAAAGGTTCGGTTCTGCCCTTTTTTTTTTTTTTTTCGTGAGGGTGAATGCCAGAAGAAAAAAGGAACAGTACTCTTTAATTTTAGACCAAAGAACACTTGATCAACACGCTCCTATGTTGTCATAAGCTTTGTATGTTTAACCTGTCATTTAAATCTTGGAGAAAAAAAACAAATATATAACTATTGACAAGGTGTTCCCTCTGACATGTGGCAGCTACTTTTTAATGGTCAAGCCTCTTATTTTTATACTCTGATGTGAGACATACTCATCAAAGAGTAGGTGATTCTCTGTACAAAGTTATGCTAAGTTGTAATATTAAGCCGTAGGAGTATATTCAGTGACTTCACGTTGACAAATGGCGATTTCTTTCTTCTTCCTCCTTCATATAAAACCGGTTTTGTTGCCCGTGTCACTTGTCATAGAATATAAAGTTAAAACGGTTTCTTTTATTACACAGATGAGTCTGCTGCCTGTAAAGAATCAGTGTTGGTAAATAGACATATTTGAGCCAATGTGATGGATAAATGTCGACGCCAACATTATTCACGTACAATTTTTCAAGGTAATGTTTTGTTTACGGTTGAAGGAAGTACGATTTTTTTTTTTTTTTTTTTTTACATTATTATAGTTATTCTCTTCTGAGGTTCTCAGTAAAAAAAACAAAACATGAATGAACAATGACCACTCATTTCTGTTATTTCATACACCAGATAAACGTGAGTAGTGCGCCACCTAGAGTCTCTGACGCTCATGGCTCATCAAAGAGTGTAGATACAGTGAGAGGATTCCTGCGAGAGACGACGGAGTTTAGTCGCATTTAAACATTTGTTACGTTGGAATAAAAGTGTTTTTTATAGCCGCAATACGGTACAGAAATGTAAGGAATTAATGTTATTAGGTTGTCGAAAAGAAATCAAGTTTGTTTTGTATAAAGAGAACTGCACACAGTCGTTTATTCCTATAAAACCGCTCACTGACGCGAAAAGACAACTTTACCGGATAAATACATACTGCGCATGCGCTATGGTACTACTTAACTTTCGGTTTAGCCGTCCATTAATTTAAAAGCGGGTTAGATAATTTAATCTTGACTTTTAAAATGTTATCGGGCTGAATTAATAAATTCTGTTATCGATCGTTTTCTTTCACAGTGTAAGTTTATGGTGCGTCCCGTGACGGACGTCATTGCGATCCTAATTTGCGCATGCGTAGTGCTGCCTATGAGGTTTCTACCGTTAAATTAACGGTAATGTGAAGCTCGTCGATCTGTTAACGGTCGGTTCGTTAATATTTAGTGTTTACACAGCGGTACACGGTAAAGCTGAGTAAGAGATACACAAACGAGACTGGGAACTGTAGTTGTTTACTCTTTGGAACTACATTTCCCAGCTCCCCGCCGCTGTCTTTGTTTAGTCCCTTAGAACTACATTTCCCAGTGTGACGCAGCTGTCCGGTGATACGACGTGTCGTAAAAAAATCAGTAAACCACGGCGAGACCGAGATGGGCACCTCCGAAGACGGCTGACAGTTTGCTCTGTCTTTATTTGTAATCAGTGATGTTTATGTAGCGACGGCCAGGCCTCGGCGCACGGTAACGGTTGTACAACATGGAGGCCATGGAGGATGACAGTTTGGACCTTAAAGACGACCACAACCACAACAACTACCGCGCGAGCAGCAGCAGCGGCGGCGGCGGCAAAGTCCGCACGCAGCTCAGCGGACAGTTGTCGGATGCAGCGACGGTCCCGCAGCCCGTCTGTGTGCCGGTGCCGGGAGGAGAACCGGGGAGTCGACGGGGGAAAGTGTGGTCCGGCGGCTCCGGAGGGTCAAAGTTCATGGACTCGGATTCAGGCAGCGAGAGCAGCGAAGTGAGCGAGACCGACAGCACGGCTCCACCAGCCGCTGTCGAGGGCAAATTCACCCTCGATTCTACTTCCAAGTTCCGTAAGTTCACTTAAAGCAGGCAGAGAGACACAGCTCGGCCCCGACACCTCGGCCCCGACACCCTGCACACAGCTCGGCCCCGACACCTCGGCCCCGACACCCTGCACACAGCTCGGCCCCGACACCTCGGCCCCGACACCCTGCACACAGCTCGGCCCCGACACCCTGCACACAGCTCGGCCCCGACACCGTGCACACAGCTCGGCCCCGACACCCTGCACACAGCTCGGCCCCGACACCGTGCACACAGCTCGGCCCCGACACCCTGCACACAGCTCGGCCCCGACACCTCGGCCCCGACACCCTGCACACAGCTCGGCCCCGACACCTCGGCCCCGACACCCTGCACACAGCTCGGCCCCGACACCCTGCACACAGCTCGGCCCCCGACACCGTGCACACAGCTCGGCCCCGACACCCTGCACACAGCTCGGCCCCGACACCGTGCACACAGCTCGGCCCCGACACCCTGCACACAGCTCGGCCCCGACACCCTGCACACACCTCGGCCCCGACACCCTGCACACAGCTCGGCCCCGACACCGTGCACACAGCTCGGCCCCGACACCCTGCACACAGCTCGGCCTGCTGCTGTATATTACAGCCTGATGCTCCTGGTAGCGGACCCACTGTCGGTCTGTGGGTCTGTTAACGTTAGATTCCTGATGTAACAGGCCAATATTGTATTGATGTAGCACATTTTTAACACCCAAAAGTGTTTTACAAAGTTGACAAGCAATAAGAAACAAATGATGTAAACAATAACACAGTGGTTCACAACCTGTTCTTATCATTTAGTGAACTAACAACCCCTGATTCAGTGACATCTTTTAAGTATATTTCATATTATATTCAAAACTGTAAAATAATAACTGCAATAAGTTCGTGTTGTGGTGCACTTTGAGCAGATTATTTTATGTTTTAGGTTTAACTCTTTGCTCCTATCAGAATCAGGATTATTTGTCTTGGTAAATTGGTGCATAACAATTGAACACAGAAAAATAAACATAAATATATAAAATAGAGACAATATGGACAAATACGTAAAGAGCTGTTCAGGAATGTGACATAATGATATTTGTGAATGTGCAAAGATAAAATTCAGTGTTTTCTTCCCCCTATTGTTCTCTTAGACAGTTTAAATAATTATTTATTTTACTTTGCATTTACTTCTCTAAACATAAGTGAACCAAATGCTGAGATATCTGCGTACAGTGTATATGAGGCCTCCCGACCCCTGGTGGGGGCAAAAAGCACAAAGGATAAACAACAACAAAAAACAAACTAATAAACAAATATGACTGATTTTTAAAGATGAATTAAAAGCAGCGGTTAACAGGTCGATCTTTAGCTTGGATTTAAAAGTAGTCAGCAGTTTCTCCAGCTGCTCAGTTTTTACTTCCAGGAGCGTTTCCAGACGTTTTAAACTAACGAGTCACAAGCGAGTCACTGACTTATTCAGGGGTGGTATGAAAGTGTCTCAGCTTTCCATTCCTTCCCAAATCATACAATCCCACTTCTCTTTAGGGACTCCAGTACGCAGAAAGGTGAAAATAACCCATTTATACCGCACTATGGGGGCCATGCCATCCTATATTTGGAGCCAGGCTAGCACGCCGTGGTTGTAGGTAGATCCTCTAGTTTCACACGATGTAGTGGATCATTCTTCGTCCTCATCACAACCCTGACAGCCGCAGATAAATGCATGTGCTAGATTCCGTCCAGATCACGTTTTGACATGTTTTAAAGATATTTTTAAGGCGTTAGAAGTTTGATTTAGTTCAAACCTCACCGGCTTCTCCTTTCACTCAGTCCTGAACGCGATGGCTGTAGAAGACTACCGGAAAAACCACTGGCCCAACCTGGAGAAGGCGATCGACCGTCTGCTGATCCAGAATCCCACAGATCACATCTCTGTTTCTTACGCACAGATATACAGGTAAGAAACAAACACCTGAGCTGGGGCACATTGATCTACAGTGTAAGGAGCCCCACTGCAATCTGAAATACCTCCTTTTGTGTCTCCTAGTTACGTCTACAAGTGTGTTTGTCAGCAGCACTCTGAGCTTCTTTACAACGATTTGACGTTAAAAATAACAAATCATCTGCAGCAGGTTTCCACCCATCTACAAGTAAGCAAACGCAAACACAAGAGAACTATTAAATACAGCAGACGAAGAAAGAAACTATACATTTAATCACTTTATTTATTGTTTTCCAGGCCAGTCCACCTGAGAACTTCATTGAGAACTTCAATGTTGCGCTGACGCAATACACGGCGTCTCTTCAGTGTATAGTTCCTGTCTTTATGTACTTGGTAGGTTTTCTTTATTATAAGTCTTCTGTGTGTAACGTATCGGAGGATCTGCTGGCAGAAACTTGAATGAAACATTTCAAACGTTTGCAGAACAAGTTCTACATCGAGTCCAAACTGAACAGAGACCTGAGAGACGATCTGATGAAGCTGTTCGCTGATCACGTCGCAGAGAAACACGTGAACACACTGATGCGTGAGTGCTTCGCTTCATTTGAGGCCTTGACGTTAGAAAACTGAGCTTATAAAACTTAGAATGCACCAGAGTTTGTTTAGAGGATATATATCGTAACACCTGTGGTAAAATAATTCTTCCTTTATGTCTCACTGGATTTATTTATTCAGGGCGACAGAACACTAAAATATTTGTGCTTCTGTTTATTTTATTCTTGTTCAGCTCTTCTCATCAAAGCTCATTCCATGCCCTTTCAAGTGCAGCCATCTACAATGGCCAGTGTGGTTAAAGGCCTCTACAGCCTCCGACCAGGTGAGCTACGTCGCTGTTATTTGTTCTGCTGCTGCTGGAAAGCTCCTGTATCTATTATCTGTTTTTAATGAGTTCCCACACATCCTGCAAAACCTGGATATTTAAGAGGCTTGTATTCCAGTCATAGAAACACCTGGGAGTTGATTATAATGAGCAAATATCCTGGAAATAATCTTAATTGTTTCAAGCCCCTGCGTCATAAAGAAAAGGAGATATAAAAGTGGGTTAATTCAATCGAGTGCTGTCCTGGAAAGGTCCTGGAAAATGGTTTCTTAAACAGACAGTTAGGTTAGTGACATTCAGAATAAGCTGCACTAAACGTGTTTTAATAGATTTTTTTGGTTCCCTCCTTCAGATTGGGCCCAGTTGGCACCGGCTCTCTTCTCTGGCTTTATTCCCCAAATCAACCCTCCGGCTGTGGAGTCTCTGCTGCCTGACTACGCCGCTCACGACCAGAAGTTACAGCTGGAGCTCTCCATGAACGGATTCCCTCGGTCAGTCTCAGAATCTGGATTATAAACGCAGCTTCTTGTGTGTCGCACTTTAAATCGCTGATTGTTTTGCTTTTGTTTTCCAGAGGCGACCAGTCTCGAAAACGGGCCAGCGATGACTCCTGATAGCAGAGCTATTACTGTGCCTCCCGCAATCTTTATACCACGATTGACAAGGTGTCAGTTTCCTCTCCCTCGACTCGAGGTCACACAACACTGTGAAGAACAAAGAGAACCTGACGTTGGGTTGCTGAGCAGACGCTTAATCTCACTGCACTATAAAAGCACACAGACTTCCTTCATGGTGCTTTCCTCTGCGATTTTACGACAGCTTCAGTATTTGTGGGATGCTGCTGTTGTTGTGCGTCGAGATGGTTTTCCTTCACGCTCCTCCTCATTTGAAGAGTGCCTTCTCGGTGTCTGTTCAGATCGGATTGTCCTAACGAGGGACGTGTTTCATTCCTAACCTTTAACATGGAAGTGTCTTCTTTTAATAGACTGGGCTAATCAAGACTTTCTATTGCTGCTAATAATACTGTCCATGTGTTAATACTACAGACCCCTCACCCACTGTGTCTGTGACCCAGTGAGCTTCACTCAACACAGACGAGTGGAGGAAAGAAATGAGAACAAGGGAGGGAGGGAAACTACATCGTCGACCTCAACTATAATTCTCTTCATGTTGCCTTTTACTGTGTTGGTAAACCGGATTGTATTTTCCTGTTACGCCAAAGAGGATTTGCAGTACTTGTTTTCTTTTATATATATATACACATAATGCATTGGAGCGGACGTTGTGTACGTTATACGCTGTCTGAGTCGCTGAGCCGTTTACGTTTCTTTTTTTTATATACTAACAAGTTTTGTAGCTTTAGTTTGTTTGTCTCAAGTCGATCTTTAAATGTCTGTTTTAGCCTCGCGTGTAGGATTGGCAGAGAGCTTCGACAACCACACGACGTTGTTTGACAATTTCCTTTTTTTTTTTACTCCAGTTTGTTCAACAACTTACCTTTTAAAGCTAAGGTAGCTGACGTAGGTAACCAGTGAGGATTTAGTGGTGTAGTTTCAGATTATAAGTCACTCGCTTTCCAATAAACTGGTTCAGTGTTTGTCTGCTCTGGGCTGCTGTAGAAACATGGTGGTTCAACATTGCAGCTCATTCGAAGGTAACAAAAACACATTTTCGAGTGATTTTACACTAATAAAAACATAGTTTGGCTTCTGTTAATCTATTTCTGCCAACAGAGCCTTAATGAATGTTACTCTCTGGATCTTTAAATCTGTTGACACTCTTTACAAACCCGACAGCGGTCCGTAAATCAAATGGCTCTCGGGAGGAAAAAGAATAATGTGGTATGTGTGGCAGATGTAATAAACCCCAGTGGGAGTTGCTTTGAGGTGCCAGTTCCTCCAGCGTTACCTACCTTGAGCTTTAATCGTCCCTAAACTGTAAATATATACGGAACCTGATGCTTCTCGGATTTTAAGAAACAAAATGATATGCAAATATTGTTTGGCGTCTACTCGTTGCTGCATTAAAGGTTCCTAACGTATAGTCTGATGATGTAAATGGTTTTTTTGTCTTTGCATAGTGGTCGGTGTACACAGCTTCGAACGAATCACTTGAATGGATGAATTTGATACGCGGTCTTACACTGTTTTAAGTGTAAATAGATGCTCAGGCTTGCTTTTTTGTTTCCGTCTGTGGGTCTTGGAAAAGGTTCTCATTGTCTTTCAAATAAACTAATTTCATTAATCTTGGGACACAGGTGATTCTTCGCTGTTCGGGAGTTTAAATCTGGTTCTGGAGGAGTGTTTTCTTCCATAAGAAGGCATTAAAACAAACCTAATGAAGTCACTGCAGATGCCAAACACTGGATGTACTATGTTCAATCACTTTTTCTCTTAACACGCTGCAAAAAAAAAAAAAAGAAATCCATGTTTAAAAACAACTGTGAATAAAATTCCACTTGGCTCAAATGCTGTTTCAGAAAACGTTGCAAAGAAATCTTTTATTCTACACAACATTAGTGAATCCTTGCTGTTAATGTGCTGTGTTACTGTTGGTGTGTGTGTGTGTGAGTGTGAGAGAGGCTCAACAAGGGGATTCTAATTCTGTAGGATGGCGGTCTGTGACGGACCACTGGAGGAGGAATCCCTTTACAGCAGGCCCCCCCCTGGCCAATGAGCGGGGACGCCACCCAGACACATGGGCCAGGCCTCCCCAAAATAACCTGCGACTACCGCACTGACAAATGTTGCTACTTGTGCTGGTGACAAGTTACCCTAGCTACTCGGCTCCATATTTCCCTGTAAACTCCAAGGTTAACGCCGCGCGACAGAACCGGGAAAAAGTCCTGGGCAGCAGCCGGCGTCCCCATATTTTCCCCCTCAGGTGGCGGCAACCTAGAAGAACCAGGAATCTCTCCCTCTTTTGAGCACAGGTGCACTCTGGGGGAGGATTTGCCAGTCCTTCACAGGGGGCCAGCTGGGTTTATTCTGAAGGTAAAACACACCACCCCCCTAATTTAATTGTTCTCCTGTTGACTGTGGTTCTGGCATCAAGGCTCTGGCGCTGTGTAGAGCATCAGAAAAACCTCTGACATTGAGCCTGGAATCTATTCCTGTGTGAATGTTTTAATTGAATTATGTTAACCTGCCTGGATTGTGTGCTGCTGGTGCTGGTGCTGGTGGTGGTGGTGGTGGTGGTGCTGCTCAGCCTGTTATCAGCAGTTTCCAACTTTTATAAGAATTATAGTTCTGTGTGTGTACTTTTGATTAATGATTGTTGTGGCTGATAAAAATCCCGATAACAAGGGCACACAGGAGGATGAAGGATTCAGTTGCTGCTGCTTCTTTTTCTTTTTTTTTTGTTGATTTTCTTCATGTAAACCGACTCCCTCCCGCTATTATTAGATATGACTTGGTGGGCTTGGAGCCTGTTTGCAGAGGATTAATGTACACAACAGCTGCAGCCTCAGGTCCGTTGGAAGGGCATTGCTGCGTCTCTTAATTGCTCTGATTTGAGTGTCAGTAGCACATGTGTACCCTATCTCATGTCTGGCTTCAATAACTCGCTCATGCTTAGCGTTAGAAAGTTGTGCAAAGGACTAAACGTCACATATGTGTCGGTCTGCGGTGCATCGGATCCGGTATCGGAGGATGAACCTGATCCCCTCGTCCAGGCTGAAATTAGGCTAAAATAAAAAGTTATTTTTACCACATATCCCTGCTTTGAACTACAGTCTCTGTATTCAGGATCTATCTTTGCACCAGATATTTCACACGGGATTTCTTCAACATAACACTGAGTGTAATATTAAAGTGAGGCACATCGGTATATGAGTTATTAACTCTGCTGGATGTATCAGATATATCTAACATGTAAAAGGGTACAAAAACAAGATCTTTGTCATTTGAAGGTGTGTTAGATGTCAACTTAAATGTTTTATCTGACTGATGATTTCAAGTTGTATATACTTTACATTGCTGCTCATTAAGGTGATTAATCTGCCAGATTAGTTTCTTAAACAACTCGTTCTATAAAAACAAATCAATGAATGGTGAAATCACCTTTTACACTTTTCCAGAACCCAAGTGGACATCAAAAACCCCAAAAGATATTTAGTTTCCTCTCAAAGAAGACAAAGAAAAGGAGTAAATCTTCACATTTAATAATGATTTTTTTGTTTAAAATGAGACTGTTGCGATTTTATTTCTAATTTCTACCTAATTGATCAATGTTTTTAGATTGATACCGTCCATCAAAGTGAACATAGCTTTGTAATACAGTGATAAGGGCTGCACAATTAATAGAAATATTATCAATATGCAGATCACAGAGGCTGCAGTTTGTTGATGAAGGTTTATAATGAAGTTCTGTAGTTTGTTACAGACCTCAACAAATGTCATTCTCAAGTTTTGATTTCCTGAGAAAGATTAGATCTTCCACTGATTACCATGTAAAATAAAGTCTCACTGTCGGCTGTTTCTATTATGCGTGAAGTATTTTTCCAATAAGTAACTGAGTACTTTGTGATCCACAGCATGCAGGAGAGCACCGACCCACCACCGTCACTGTCTCAGCTCTTAAGAGAGAGCTACCTGGCAGAGGCCAGAGCCCAGCAGCGCCACAGCGAGATGAGCCGCTCAGACGCTTCGTCCTCACGCCTCCAGATCTACGGGTCCCTCAAAGGCAAAGCCGAGGACTCCGTGGGCCACCACGACCCCCAATTCCCGGACCTCTCAGCCTTCTTGAGCCAAGAGGAGCTGGATAAGAGCGTGAACCTGGCCTGCCAGGCCATCGGACATGAGCCTCGCGAGGAGAGGGCAGAGGTCAAGGCCTCGGTCGTACCGTTGACCTCTTTCTCTGAACCCCCGTCTGCTCCCATGGCGAGCCCCTCTCCTGCTCCTGTTGCCGCCCCCTCCTCGCTGCCCTTCACCCAGCCACTCCCTGAGTTCAAAGAACTGCCAGCAGCGACACACACAACATTCACATCGGACAGAAAGATGCACAAAGCATCGGCGCTGCAGGAGAACACGACCAGGAACAGCAGTGACGCCAGTGAGGGATTCAACGACTTTAACAGGGCGGGGAGGACAGGGGCCCCGTACGGGCCGGAGACCCAGTCCAAGAAGGAGTTCCTCAACAAGGCAGCAGACTTCATTGAGGAGCTCTCCTCTCTCTTCAAGGCCAACAGCTCCAAGCGGGTTCGCCCGAGAGCGTGCAAAACCCACCGGAGCAGGTCCCAGAACAAGAGCCAGATCGATGGGGCCGTTTATCCCCTCGGCCCAGACAACAGGGAGCGCACCGCCGTGCCCGTGGAGGAGGAGAGGGAGAGACCTGGCCCCGCTGTGAGCCACCAACCAGAGGTCCAGCTGGACTCTGGGATTGGGCACGTGGAGTTTCAGGACTGCAGGATTACTGAGGAGCAGCATTACGACTCTGTTACCCAGGAGGTGGCGGAGGAGGAGGAGGAGGAGGCTGGAAGCTGTGCCCTGACAGAAACTACATATCCAGTGGATCCCGTGTGTGAGCCTCCTCATTTCATCCAGAAACTGAAAAGCAGGGAAGTCCCGGAGGGCAGCAACGTCCAGTTAGACTGCATCGTAAGAGGACTCCCCGTGCCTGAAGTCCGGTAAGGAAAACAGAAGATGATGATATTAGATTATTTAGAGGGACGACGCTCTGAGGTGTGTCAGTAATGAAGGATCTGACCACTTGATGACATATTAGATTATACTCAAGTACTGCTGCGTCAATGTAGTATATCTGTACTTATTTCCTAATATTATGGTACTTTGTGTTGTATTTGAGAGATAAATGTTGTACTTTTTACTTCTCTACAGTTATTTAATTATTTAATAGTTGATTTTGATTTTCTACACAAAACATATGATGATTTTATAATGAATATTTATAGATGAAACAGCATATAAAAGTAACAGTAAAACATTAATGCATCATAGTAATCCAATAATATAATATCTATAACACTGAAAGGGGCCATTTTTCTGAATTATAAGTGCTTTTATTTTTAAACTTTAAGTCAATTTCCCTAATAATTCTTATTTTACTTGAGTGACACTTTTAACTTTAACTTCTAATGAAATCGGCTGTATTTATTTTGCAGTATTGATACTTTTATGTTGATCACATAGAACTTACAAATTTATTGGTATATCAGCCACGTGTTTCTACTAATAATATATATATATATATATATATATATATATATATATATATATAATGTTTGAGGTAATGTAGGAAACGCTGTCAGTCAGTTTGTCCACCAGGGAGCGCTGATGAGTTTAAAATGTTTTATCTTTAAAGCCAAATTAACCAAATTTAAGGCATCAAGAATGTGTTTTTCTGGGTGTGTTGTATTAATTTATGTAAAAAAAACAAATATTGACCAATTAACTAATATATTAATATATATATTTAATATATTAATAAGGATATCAGCATTAGTCCGACTTTATCTGTTAGTTTAAACAATCGATGTCTGTTCAGAAGATTGATGCTGTTTTGTTTTTTCTTGGCACTTCCAGACAGAAGTGACATGTGATGATAGCCAACAGCTGATTGTGAATGGCGTGAGTGTGTGTGTGTCTGCATAGGTGTGTGTTCGTTGGTGGTCGGAGGGGGGGCGGGGGGGTGGGTTTATGTCCTGGACAAAAAGATAATCACATTATCTCTCATATACCATCAGATTCTTACGAGGATGTCGTCCATCTACAGTCATTAATGTGTCAAAGTATGACGAGAATTTACACCTTTTATAGCGTTCAGTGAATTTATTTCAGTATCAAAGTGAAACAGAATACATTTATTAAACTAACATTACCTTTCTGCCTATTCCAGCTCTTCTTGCTGCTTGTTTTTATGGTAGTTTTTTTGTTTGTTTTACAACCCGAAACAACTTGGGAGTTTTCCGAACAAAGCCTGTAAATGATGTGAAGCTGAGGTGTCAGACCAAAGGGGGCCTGTGGGCTTGTTGGTCCTGCTGAGCATTGTTGAGCTACTAACATATACTTGTCCAGAGGAAGGGGGGGAGTGAGAATGTAACTCTCGGCCATTTTTAGACTGGACTGGCACAGCGAGCTGTAGTCGTGTCTGATAATGGAACCAGCTGAGCTTTTGACAGAAGCATGAAGAGGCTGGGTAAGATGATGTATGCAGTTATTGGTTGGTTTTGTATCTTTATATGGTTTGTTTGTCTTGGAAAAGTCTGAATATTTGCTTTAAATGTTTCCTGTGAACACAAATCTCTCTTCACTGTCTTTAGTGTGTTTGTTTCTCCTGCCTCTGACTTCAAGGAGTCAAAATAGAGCTGCCAGGTTCATATTTCCCATCAGTTTGCAGCACTGTGCTGTCTCTGGTGTGTCGGGGTACAAGCATTGTGTGTACTCTGACTCTATCTTTAGGCTTTTGCGTATGCGATTGGGTCAGCCAGTCAGAGCTCCCGGGCTCCAGAGGGAATCTCCTCTCCGGTTCTGAAGTCCAGAGGGGGGAAAATAGCCCCCCGACAGGTGCAGAAAGCTGGGGGTCTCTACCTCGCTGACCGGCCAGCTCCTCTACAACTCATGCTTTCAATTTAGACCCTTACTCATGAGAAATGACCGAACACTCGCAGCACATTCCAGCCTTGTGTTGTGTCCAAAGTATCGGTAACTTCAGTGCTGTGCTCTCACTGGAAGCAGCGGGATTATTTTAAAATACCGAAGCTTAAATGGACTCCTCTCCAGAGAGAACGTCGGTGGAGAGGCGATAGGGAGTTCTTTGCCTGCATATTTATTTTAAAAAGTCTTTCCGTGTAGTTGATTCACGAGCTTGTTGAAAGCGCTGGACGTGATTTATGGTTGTGTGATGACGTCTTGCCAGAGAGTAACACATCACCTCATTCCTGTTTGTTTGTTGGCTGGTTTTTAATAAAGCATCAGTGCCTCATCCGCTCAGAATAGACGTAGGTCGTACTTTGACGTAGAGGCTGCTGCGAATGTTGCCGGTCAGAGAAAGTTAGAGGTTCACTATTATAGATTTACACTGAATAAATTGACTGTTACCAACTGCAGCTCTAGTGTACCTTTATTTACTTAAAGGGACCTATTTATATCTATTTATATCATTTATTAACTGACTCAGTGACTTATTTTATGGATAAACTTTATATTATATCAAAAACTGTACAATGAACCCGAACAGTGAACTCAGTAACTGGAAGAAGTTTGTGTAAAAGGAGAGATTTGGATTAATTTTTAGCAGATTATTTCCTGTTTAGGGAACTTTTTATACAATTATCTGTCTAATTATTGTTATTATTTTTATATTTATACATTTTTAAATATTTATTAAGGGAATGTAATGTAAATTGTCTTAAAGCACAATGGTCAGGAACAAGAAAACACTGAATCTGTCGACAAGAAAAAAGCCTATTAAGTCGGTTTGATTGTTAAAAATGACTTAAAAAAATAATACAGAGAGAAATGTATAAAAAGTTCCCTAAACAGGAAATAATCTGATCAGTTACTGAGTTCACTGTTTGGGTTCATTGTACAGTTTTAAATGAAATATGAAATATACATAAAATATGTCAGTTGTTTCATTAAATGATAGAAAAGTTTACTTTACGTTCACTTTTCTTCACAGAAGTGAACCAGATGCTGAGATTTAGACCTATTGTGTATATCTTTTAAGTTTTCTAGCACGCCTTAAAATCAAGAAGGCCTCACGACCCTCCCATGAAGCTTTGGCGACCCCTAGTTGGGGTCCCGACCTCCAGTTTAAGAACCATTGCACTAGAAGTTACAAAGTAGGACTAATGCATAATTTTAACCAGATAGGTTTTCTTGTCACGTATGTTTTAATAGTATTTTTGCCCATTTATTCCTGATTATACAGCATAAAATTATAGATTACAATATTGATTATTGGCTTCAGACGCACCGGGTTGAGTCCAACCAGGAAAAAGAAAATAAAGCGGATACACTTAACTCGCTTACTTCATTACTCACACGTTGCTCTAAGGTTGTTTTGTGCTCCTTCACAACATCAACATCGTGCATTGAATTGGTCTCTAAACTAACTCGGCACGCTGCTGTTGCTTCTTGTCTTACGGGGAATAGGGATCGGGCTCGCTCATCAGGACGTTTTACTCTTGGCCTGCATAACTCCACCGAATGGCACCAAGCCAGAGACACTATTAGGGAACACGGTACCAGCCTGCTCACAGAAACAATGTCAGGAGGTTAATAGAAGGAAAAAGAGGACAGTGTAAAGATGGGGGGTTTAAATACTAAAGCAAGGGTAGGAGAGGCTTAAAATATCCTACTGAAAATAATAATTAATTTGTAAAAGAGTGCTATGACTAGTATTAGAAGTAGATTACTGACAGAAAACAACTCCACTGCTAGATGCTCCTAAATCCTACAGACTGGTCCTTTAGAGGAACAACTTGACTCAATGGATGCAGAAAAGGGCAGAATGGGGTCACTTGAGGGTTTAAATGACTATGAAACTTCATAATCATACAAATCAGAGTAATTTAGTTAATTTCCACCTGTAACCAAAAGGTATGGAGTAGTTCCAATATCTATTTGATGCAACAAAAGGTCTTTGAAAAAGAAATAAATGGCTTTATTACTTCCTTCAGCAGGTTTCAATTTGTAATTTCTCTGAAATCTTTGAGAAAATCTATTAAATCAAATTAAAGGTGCCCTGTGGAGTTTATGTTTACATTCAGTGTGTAACTTTGAGATCTAACAAATGTGTTAAACACATTTCATTCCTTATAAAACATTAGCAAAGTTGGCTTTTTAGAATATCTTAAATCGTGCATCGGTTATATCCATGTACCAGCTAACCTTCTTAACTGCCACCAGTGCTAGTAGTGGTCAAAAACTCCATATGGATCCATTTTCTCCAACATATTTTTAACAGATGTATAAAATTGTAGCTCTGGAAGACGCCTACAGTCAGTTAAACTGAGCCGTTTGTGGTATATGTTCGATTACAGGTGGTTCTGTGAGGGCAAGGAGCTGGAGAACAGCCCCGACATTCAGATCGTCACCGACGGAGAGCTGCACTCTCTGATCATTGCGGAGGCGTTCGAGGAAGATACGGGACGCTACTCGTGCTTTGCATCTAACTTCTATGGCACTGACTCCACGTCGGCTGAGATCTACGTTGAAGGTGATGCTTCTTTCTTTCTCACCGACTCTTTAAAGTTAAAACACTGATAAATGACGGAGTGTGTTTGCTCAAACCGACAGGTGCCTCCTCTTCGGATTCTGAGGGAGAACAGCACTACGAACACGTAGCCCAGTGAGTTTTTACTGTGTTATTCTCTAAAATAATCTATGTGATAAACTACAACACTAATTCTTACTCCTGTGGTTTTCAAAGGCTGCAGAGGCAATCTTTACCTCCGCTATCGAGCCAAACTCTCTCTGCGGAAGAGGAAGACTCTGCGGCAGCCACCGAGGAGCCGGCAGAGCAGCTAACCAACCAAATAATCCCAGAACCTCCTCTACCGGTCCAGACATCAGTCGCCATACTTCCAGTGCCAGAGCTCCCTAAAACACCTGTGGCATCCACAGCTCAGGAGGAGGCAGCCGTGTTCCCTGTCCAGCTGTTTCCTAATTTGTCTCCCGGTGATACAGAACTTCCAGAAGGTCCGGAGGTGTCGGCATCTGTCTCCGTCACATCCACACCGACAGCAGCAGCCGTAGACACACCTTTGACCTCAGTGGTCTCGTCTCTGCTGCCTGTCCTGGCAACTCCGACGCCCCAACCTGAGGTAGAAGAGCTGCTTCCTTCCACTATAATTTGCGTGTAATGATTCGTTTTATATGTTTTAATAAACATGTTTTTTCATCTTCAGAGTCAAACCTCCAACTACAACTATCTACAAGGGTTGAACGGGCAACCTATCATGGCTGCCCCCGTGTTCACAAAGGTAGAGTCAGTCTCAAAAAAGGATGCACTCTGCTTCTGTCTATTACGTGTTTTACTGATGTAACAAAGTCTCGTTCCACCAGAATCTGCAGGACCTCCTTACGTCTGAAGGCCAGCTGGTGGTGCTAGAGTGCCGCGTGAAAGGGATGCCGTCACCTCGAGTGGACTGGTACAGAGAGGGAAAGATCATAGACGACTCTCCTGATTTCAGGATCCTGCAGAAGAGTGAGTCCTGCTCACTGCTGCTTATTTAAAGTGCAGACGAGCTTCATGCATTGTGGAGAGAGTTTGTGTCTTCTGGGTTTATACTGCAGCCACATTTGACGTGACTTCTTTCATTAATATATCATTTTAAAGAGTTTAATTCAAGTATATTTCTGTAATCTCACAGTTTGATGTTTCTTTAAGTGCTCGAAACGTCATTCAAATACAAACACAGTGATGCTACAATAAAAACATTAGTAATGGCTTAAAATTGCCTGATTTAGTGTAAGAAATTACTTTCAGTGCAAATAAAACTAAATTAAATTCAGTTTTTAAGATTTACGCTGCTTCTAAAGAGACATCTGGATGTCCTTTAAGGAGTCCTGAGACATAAAAATCTTATTTATATCAAATCTCAACCAAAATGAGTCCTGAGTCTTTGGTACGTGAGGCCATGTCCAACTTGCTGCATCTTTAGTCTTTAGTTGTTTTATCTAATAAAAAAGACAGCAAAAATAAGAAGGAAGGGATTTCAGACTCATTCTGCCTTTATAGGAACATTAATAAATTAAATGATGGTGTTATATGATTAGTGATGATAATTATTCTTAAACTGTAACTTCGGCTGTCGCACTTTACTGCAGTTTCATAATGATTTCTGTGTTTGTTTCCATTTCAGAGCCGAGATCTCCGGCTGAATCAGGTACATATTTCATTAAATCCTCATTTGTCAAAAACAAGTGTTGACCGCAGCGACGCAGCTGCCTGTCTGTGTACGATGCCACAGTGTGTACATATTACTCTGCACAAGTGTTTATAGTCCTTGGCTGAGGCTTCTGCTCTTCTTCTGTACATAAGCCAGGGCTGCTTTTTCCCCTACTCTGGACCATATAAGGCAGTCTCTCATCCTGTATCAAACCACCATGGCAGATCACTTCAACCTGCTTTAGCTGCAGATAGACTCTCAGCCTCAGTGACACACAGAAACCTCACTGCAGGGCTTCTGAAACACTCAGTGTATTAAGACTCAACTTGACTATGTGAGTATCACATTTTGTTTTCACCTCTAGAGGAAATATGCACTCTGGTCATTGCTGAGGTCTTTTCTGAAGATTCGGGGATGTTTACTTGCACAGCCAGCAACAAGTATGGAACCGTGTCCAGCACTGCTACACTGAGGGTCAAAGGTAACGCTTCTGTTTCACTTCACATCAGTGTTTATGTATTCTTACTGAAATACATTACTTACTGAAACTGCTGACATCTGTCTCTCTGACTCTCATCAGGCAATGGCAGCAACAGCAACCATGTGAGGCCTTTCACCAGTTTAATGGTGGAGCCCAGTCGAGTCCAAGAACCTTCCCCATTAGCTCCCACTTTAATCCCTCAACCAGAGGTTACTGTGACCAACAGCATCAAGCCCCACTCCAGCACCATCCGTCTGGACCCGCTCGTCTCTAGCACCCTACGCCTGGACCCCTTAAACACCAGCACCCTCCGTCTGGACCCCCACAGCTCCAGCATGTTGCGTCCGGACCCCCTCCGCACCAGTCTACCCAGTCTGGAACCATCCAGCCTGAACAGCAGCAGCTCTGGCCTGAACTCTTGCAGCACCAGCACCCCAAACTTAGACCCTTTCTACCTCCACCAGGGCCCTAATGGATCCAGTGGAGCACGTCCAGAACCACAGAGTGGCCCTGTGCTCTCGTACCTGAAACCCTTTGCGTCTCCACCTGTGTTTGAGACTTCAGCTGAGCAGGAAGTGTCCAAACCTTCAGTGACATCGTCAGACATGGGCCCCAAATTTAAGGGGACCCCAAACCATCAGAACGGGAGCCCCATCGTGGTGCCCCTCCCCGATCCCCCTCCCAACTCCTGCCTAAAGACAGGCACCTTGACGAACCACAAAGACTCACGCTCCAGCTCCAGAGTCGGCCTGCGCGTGCACTTCAAACTGCCTGAGGATGAGGAGGATGAACAGAGAGACACATCCAGTCTGTCTGATGAAGACATCAATCAGATGTCACTCAACAAAGAACCACCACCAGTACGGGCTAAACCCAAACTGTGAGTAGCCTCAGGAATTTCACAACTGTGCAACGCAGGGCTGTCAGAGAGTGTAGTATGAGGAAGAGATTGTGTAGGTGGGTTTGTTCTGCTTCTAAATGAATTAGATGGGCTGTATCGAGAGGTGGGAGGTTCTTCTTCCACTGGCTCAACTAGCAGCTGTAATCAGTTGCAATTCATGAATAAATGCATACGGACCTCAAATGTGGACCTTCCGACTTTCTAAAACAAAGGATGGCGTTTTCTATTTGTGAGTCTACTTCAATGCATTTATATTCATCAGATGTTTTTAGATAATGCTCTAAACCTCGTAAGGTTTAAATTTGCTGCTGTTTTTGTACACGACGGGATTTTAAAACACAAAGATAAATATGACAGTTGGTCCTGTATTGTTGAGTCTGATTAAATTTGCAGCAATCTGATGATAAATAACAGCGAAGTGTTTAGAAATGAAAGCTGAAAGTGTCTTGAGCTTGGCCAGTGTTTTGTTTGTAGTCTACTTGTTGGTAGCCCATAAAAGGGCAGAGTATTCTTCATGCTGACTTTGGCTCATTCCTGCTGGGGTTTACTGCATGGACGTAATTTATGACAGTGGTGCTCTGAGCCTCTCTAATTTTCACCATGTATAGTGTCATTTTTTTTTAGGGGGGGGTCGTAACTTTGTGTTCTGCTTTTATCAAACAGGGACCCAGCCCAGCTCCAGATTCTGCACAACCAGGTCCTCATGGAGCAGCAGCAGGAGACCGAACCTCAGACCCAAACCCACGTCCAGCCTCAGTCCCACCCACCTATCCAGGTCCAGATCCAGCCTGAGGTCCAAAGCTCCCACGAAGGTCCACCGTGGTCACCCAGAATGCAACGTGAACCCAATCCACCACCTTTCAAGCCCTATCTTAACACCACGATGCCCCCGCAGCAGACAACCCACTCTGCACCTCCGCTGACCACCGCCCCCTCTGCCCCAACACTCAACACCACCTTTTCACCCCTCGTAAACACTTCTCCTGCTCCTCCTGTGAGCTCCCCTCCTTCGATTCCTCAGCTAAAGACTTCCTCACTGGTGACCTCCCCTCCAACTGCCCCACAACTGAAAACAGCTCCTCCTTTCAGTATAGCTCCTGTAACCCAGATGAACACCATCCACGCCTCCTACCTCAACCTGTCCCCCGCAGCTCTTGCCAGAACTGCACCAACACCCCAGTTTTACTCTCCACCTGCACCCGTGTTTAGTACAGCTCCTTCTGATTCAATCTCGGCCTTGCAGCAGATCACATCTCCCGCTGCTCTTCTGAGAAGCACTCACGCCTCCCTCTTGAACCTCTCCGCCACCTCCAACACCTTCAACTACGCCCGGCCTAAAGAGTTCATAGCTGCTCAGACCTTCTCACCAGTCAGGAGTCCTTCCCCAACAGAATCACCAGTCCCTCTGCTCCACGAGCTGGCCGCCGAGCTCAACTCCTCTGCAGCAAGCTCCCCGACTCTCCCGCCATTCTCCCCACCACCCAGGACCTTCCCCACAAGGGTGCTCAAGTCTCCCACCAGCCCTCCGTCCCTCGTGTCCTCGCCCACACCACTGTCGGCGGCATTCATGAACAGCATGTTCGCTGTACGAGCCCAGTCGCCTCCACAGGCCTCCTCTCCCACCTCCAGCAGCTCCACCCCGAGTCCCATTCAAAACCCTGTGGCGTTCCTGAGCTCCGTGCTGCCGTCCCTGACCCCGAGTCAGCCCACCAACTCCATGGGTCTGCCCAGGGGAGCTCCTTTAGGGTACACCCTCTCTGACAGACTACAATCCTCAATAGATTTATGAACTGTCTCATGCTCTAATGCACTTTTCCCTCCTATCTCTTCAGACTAAAAAAGACCGTACCAAAAGTGCGCTTCCAGTCAACTGAAGACATTCGCGAAAGCAAAGAACTTCTCATCCACGACATTGAGAAAAAGCTTCGATCGAAAGACGATACTCCGCAATTTGCACATCAACAGGTAACGACTCAGTCTCCAGCTCTGATGGATTCCTCTTTTTTTGACTGCTTCAGTTACAGTGATGTAATGGTGAATAAACCCCATAACAATTCAACAACTACTTAAAATAAGACAAAAGGTGGGTCCACTGAATACTTTAAAGAGATTACTCCACCCTAAAACATGTTGTTTGAGCTGTAAACTGAATTATATATGACTGACACATCAGTGACTATTACTAAATATCACCCTGGACCTTTTAAATCCAATGCTGAGTCATGACATTTATATAAAAACAGAGTAAATAAAGGTGGGTCCAGCCTCCATTACATCCCTGCTCAGTTATATTAGACTGCTGTGTGAATATCATTGTCAATAAATGACCAGTTTGTTGACATGGAGGTATGTGATCGCTAATTTCTAACTAACCAACTGTTGCAATCTAGCTTTTTATAGTTTTAAGGATGACTTTACATTATGCTTTCTACTTTGTGTATTGATTGTAAGATGACAGATATTTTAGAATCTGCTTCAGTTCAGTAGAGCGGCAGCCATTATTCCCTCCCCAGTCATTCAGTTATTCATCATTGTGCATCCATGTACCGTAACAACATACGCATGCTAACAACAACAGCTTGTGTGTCATGTGTCTTTTGTTGGTGTTCATCATCCATCCCTATCCTCTCATAGAAGCTGAGTATTGAGGGGAAAACAGCGAGCAGACCCCTTGGACCAAACATTCCTGCTACTGTCTTTAACTATGATGAGGTACAAGGATCCTCCCGTCCCAAGCACTGCTTTGCTCGAGGCTGTATGAGTTATTCAAATGTTTAAGGCAGAGATTCAAAAACTTTGGATATTCTCACATACTTATCTGAATACCACGGTTAATCGATACCTCTAATCAAGCATTCAAGCTTCTATTAACTAATATATAACCTGCACTAATGATCTGAAACATACTTTAGGGTTCAAATTCATCAAATTAATTCATAAACTAATGAAATGTAACGACTCTACTGTGGTGTAATGAAATATTCTCCAGTTATAAGTTAACTAATTTTCCCCACTGAAGCCTGCAGCCCCTTTTTTTTCCTGTTTGCATTTCAGATTTTTCCCAAAAGATTTTTCTTCTTCGCAACACTTTTCTGACAAAATAAGACCTCACCTCACAAACCTGCACATATACAACACATATAGTTCTGTCTTTCTGCCAGTCAATAGGTGGACAAGCTTAGAGGTTTTTGGTATGAATAAAAGGTGTTTTAACTCTGCAGTTCACCTCCACTGTTCTCTGTTTTACCTTCAGGCTTATTTTTTAGTTGTTTGGCTTATCATCAAGTGGTTTAAAGTTACAATCAGTTTTTGTTTTTTGAGATTTGAGTTGCAGATTGTACTTTAATACCACTACATGGTAAATAGATGCACGTTGTCTCGTGTTCCTGATAATTGCATACCTCTCCGAGAGCATTTATTGCTTATCTGAATATGTTCACGTACAATACACGCATGATGTTGTAGTCACCAACTTTCAGGGAAACCAAGACAGATGGTGCACGCAGTAATGTGGCTTGTGGCGATGACTTTCATGTAGTGGTTTTCCTTTTCCAGGAGTACAAAGTGTCCAATTTTGAGCAGAGACTAATGAGCGAGATTGAATTCCGTTTGGAGCGAACGCCAGTGGAGGAGTCAGACGATGAGGTGCAGCATGATGATGTCCCGACAGGAAGATGCATCGCACCAATATTTGACAAGAAACTGAAGAACTTCAGAGCGATGGAGGGAGTGCCCGTCACGTTGTCATGTAAAATAGTGGGAGTCCCTGTTCCAAAGGTGAGAGGTCAACAACTGTGCTGATCATCAACAAATGACAGCTGGATCACATCCCTCACATTTATCCATCACATCTCTCATCAGGTGTACTGGTTCAAGGATGGAAAGCAGATCTTGAGGAAGAACGTCCATTACAAGAAGATAAGAGAGGGGGATGGGACCTGCGCTTTACATATCGAGTCTACGACCAACGATGATGATGGCAACTACACCATCATGGCAGCTAATCCACAGGTAATACTTCACGCTCAGCTTACTGGTTGTCAACACCTTTTACTCCAGCTGTGAAATCTGATCTTGATGTTTAATGACCATCAGGGACGAATCAGCTGCTCGGGTCATCTGATAGTCCAAACCGGACCTCCCCGAAACCGACTGACACCTATTCACTCTCAGAGGTGAGCAGGACTGAGTGTGCAGTGTGACCTGCAGAGGTAAGAAGAATCCCTCTGCAGCACGAGGAACCAGCCAATTACTGATTTTTATCCCCTGATAATAATTATATTTTGGGCTTGTGTATCCAGCTACACTAAAAATGCGCCGCGACAAAGACCGACACAGATTGATGTCTGTTAACGTAACACCTCATCACGTTTTTCAGGGTGCGAACCCGCATACAGGAAGTCGAAAGCGAGCAAACCGAGGAGCGCTTTTTCCGGCCTCACTTCCTCCAGGCTCCAGGGGACATGTTGGCTCACGAGGGAAGATTGTGTAGACTAGACTGTAAGGTAGGCAGCAGGTCCGGGCGTGCAATACAGTCTCACATTTTTTCACCTCACCCAAGTTTTAACACGTTTTTTGTCATCCAGGTGAGCGGCCTCCCCAACCCAGAGCTGATGTGGTTGGTCAACGGGAGGCCAATCTACCCAGACCTTTACCACAAAATGTTGGTGCGGGAGAATGGCATCCATTCTCTGGTTATCGACCCTCTGACGCAGAACGACGCCGGCACGTACACGTGTATTGCAAGCAACAAAGCCGGGCAGAGTTCCTTTAATCTAGAACTGAAAGTTGTGGGTAAGGACCGAATATAACAAAGCTAAATCATTTTGAATACTTTGGTGTTGATGTCTCATTCCTCGTTTGGAAGTTCCAGTAATTTAAGTCCTGTCCACTTTAGAGAAAGAGATGAAGCACCCTCCCCAGTTCTTGGAGAAGCTGCAGAACATGGGTATTCCTGAGGGAACCCCAGTCCGGCTGGAGTGTCGGGTTGTAGGTATGCCTCCTCCGGTTATCTTCTGGAAGAAAGACAATGACACTATTCCTAAAACTAAGGACAGAATCAGGTTAGTAGGAGTTCTGAGCCTCCCGGTGCATCAGTACTGTAACTGTCTGAAAGATCTCTGTGAGAACTGGAATGAATTCTCCATTATCTGTTTATTTCAGCATGACCCAGGATGCAACAGGATATGTGTGTCTCCTCATCCAGCCAACAAGAAAGGACGATGCTGGCTGGTACACGGTGTCAGCAAAAAACGAAGCTGGAATTGTATCCTGCACCTGCAGGATTGATATCTATGGTTAATATTCTGTATAGCTGTGTATCTATCAGCTTTATTAAGACATGTGCCATATTTTTAGTCTCTCTAAGTAGTAATACTAGCTATCTGCTGCACCTTTAGCACAGTGGCATCAGAGCATCCCCGCACCCATGAAGAAGGCTCAGCGCACAGGCAGCCGCTACGCAGCTCTGACGGGCCAGGGGCTCGACATCAAGTCGGCTTTCCCCACATCGGACACCAGCCCCATCCTGTTTTCCAGCTCCCCTCCTGAGGTCATGCTAGAGAGCGAGGAGCTGTGAGCGAGTCTGCAAACACTCCAGCATGGTGACCCCCCCCTCCCCCTCCCTTACAGAGGCCTCGCTCTGTGACCTCCAACGCGAGGAGAGTGCGATGAGAAGAATGATGATCTGAGCAGATTGTCGTGATTTGTGTGATTGCATTTTGAAGTGATACATTCAGAGTAGAATGGCAAATAATTACTGTGTTAAAGCTATCGGCACTGATAGAGGGTTTTTGTCACCATTCCTATTTACTCAAGTCATATGAAAGAGTGTTTCACATACAGATTTTACAAAGTCTTAGCTCATGAGCCATCAGTGGAGTTGAATAGGTTTGTTTGTTGTTTTCTACATCATATTCAGCTCCAATAGTGAGATTGTGGCTGAGTGTTGGTAGCGTCGGTTCTTAAAGTGGTACTAGCCACCAATATATATACCTGAACTGGTAGTAATAGCTTCTTTTAAAGGTTTATATAAAAAAAAGTAGTTATAAATTATTGTTTATTAATAATCAGAGATAGTTTATTAGACATTTGAATGTCCCATTTAGATCTATTTATTTAAATGGCTCCAGCAAAGTGAGATTCTTTCTACATTTAATTAAATCCTTTCTCGACGTTCATCACTGGTTCACATTTTTGCACCATGTTTTTTTCATGTGCATGCCAACGTACAACTTAACGAACACACTGTGTCTGCTCATAAACAGTAATAATAATAAGCTGTTAGGTGAGTCTCATTCATGGTTAGTTGTTCACACACAAACACTTTCTTTGAATTTTTTGTTTTGATGTCCGGTTTTAATTAATGTATCATCAGAAGAATGAGTCAGATTAGGCAAAAAAAATCTATATTTTGACTGTTGGCTTTGCTTTAAAATGACACCGAACAAGTCAAATGTACCCTGCAAATGTTATTACTAAAGTCAGTTTGAAAACATGTTGAAGAAAAGTTTAAAAGCACATACTCGACTGATGTAAAGTTGCACATTGTAAAATAGTTTTGTCCTTCTCAGAATAAAGTTATATTTATTCAAACGAGTGAGAAATGTTTACTTTTCTGGAACAGGTGGGTATAATTCTGATGTTTATAGTATCTCATGCTTGTGTTAATATCATTAGACTTTATTAAGAGAGGTTAATGGGTAATAATCTGCTACCACGTGGCTTAAAATCTACATTTCTGCTGTCATTGCTGAGAGCTTGTTTTGACTGTACTGTAATCAGAACCCTATTAGCTTAAACTGGTACCAAATTCAAAACAAATGGGAAGCTCTGAAGCCAATTAAGCATTGCTAATCAGTCCAATTAGAGGGCAAGGGAGTTCAAATAGGCATAAAATTACAATCACCTTCCGTGACCTAATTATACTCCAGAGCCTCATTTGACCAGCTGCCAGGCCTGCTTGTTAACTGGGTGCTGTATGTGTTGCTGAGTAGTAAATATCTGTGGGCTGTGTGTGGAAAGAGTGCAATAGGATGTTTCCGATTATATTTTATATGATTACAGCACTTCAAACACAATAATAATGATTCACAGCAATAAAACAACACAATAAAAACCAAAAAGTTAGCACACTTTTGTGTTTCTCTACGCTAATTAAAGTTAATTAAGAGCTTATTAACACTGGTTGTTTAATCCTGTGATTATAGAGATTTATCAAGTCAAACCACACATGCATGCGGGGGGGTGAATCCTTTTTGTTTTACACTTTCTCCTGTACTGAAACATACGCTTTGTGCCCTTAATCTCCAGTTCTCCATAAGGAGAGTTGGATTTATGAGGCTGCGTGTTTCTGTCAGAGCAGACGGGTCACTCCTCGGTTGTGACATATGGCTTTTGACAGAGGACACGGCTCAGCCATCGGTGCTCAGACAAGCCAATCATGTGAGGGGTTGTTGAGAAAAAAAAAAGGGGTGGAAGACACGTAAGGGCCGGGGACACGTCTGAGACGAGGCCCTCAGACAAGACAAGCAGCAGCTGGCAAACTACATCAATCTGTAATCAATGAACCAACTGGTAGATGGGATTATATGCCTAATTGCACAGCTAACCAGTCCATCCCAAAATGACCAGACAGCATCAGCTTGTGTCCATGACCCAGTACCAGAGACGGGCATTATTCTAGGCCTCTGACGGTGATTAATCATTCATAACCTGCCTCTACAGCCAAGCTACGAGTTTGTCAATACACAGTGACAGGAGCTACGTGTCCTGACAAAGGACCAAATATTGAGATCCTCAAGTACTAATTAGTAATAATACCACAGTGTAAAAGTATCATAAAGTATCATAAAGCACTCATTAGGCAGAATTACCTCTTTAACAGTGTTAAAAGTTATGTATTATTATCTGTATTGATGCATTAATGTGTAAAAAAGTATTTTAATTGTGTAGCTGGTCAAGATTGTACTAATAAGTTGTATATTGTTTATATAGTAGTTTCATCATTTTATAGGCACTATACAAATAAAAATAGTTTATAACAACTTATTATATTGTAATAGCTCATTATTTTGTGTGTAAAAATTAAAACTACAATAAAAAATGACCAAAAAAGTAACTTAAGTATCCAGTAAAATAAATTAAAGTACTCAAACTACTGAACTTTACTGTATTATGAGAAATCAATCACATTCTGTGCATCTTTCTCTCCGATAAACACAATTGAATGTGATTCATTACTTTAATTTAAAGTAGAAAGCGAGGTACAGTTACAGTAGATCATTACAGAACTCAATGTCGGCAGATGGGACGGACAGACAGACAAATTATTCCGTCTGTCTCATTTTCTCGGACCACTAAACAGATCAATTATTTATTTCTCATGTGGTCCCGAGTACATAAAGAACATTAACGCGTCCCACATACTGTGATTCATTAACAGCTCGTCAGACTAATGTACTTTTTTATTAAATATATAAAAGGAGATCATTCTGTGTTTTCACCTGTTCACAAACTGCCCTTCAGCCCTCAGACGGGGCAGTAATCTGTCCACCATCTTAGGTCCATATTGTTTGAGGGCCGATAATCCCCCCGATGTGCCATTAAAATCCCTCAGGTTACAGACCACACTTACACTTCTGTTGCCTCGGGCTAATCTCAGATTATGGTTATTATCGCTTACACGAGAAGTGAAAGGGGACTTCTTGGTGTCTTATGAAACTTTATAAATTAAAGCCATTTAATGTGTGAATAAATTAGATATTAAGTTGAGATTCCAACAGCAGCAACATTTTATAAGGTGAAAACTTGTTAAATATTGATTAATTAACAAATATTAAATGTTTTATTAAGAGATACAGTGTGTGCAATAATTTTAAATTAGATAAAAATGACACAGAGGGTCATTTTACCAACTTTTGTGATGTTTACTTGCTAATATCTGATGGTGAATATATTCCATAATATGTTAATATTCTGTTTAATTAAAGCTTCATTAAGCGCTCAGTCATTAATAGTTAATTTTCTCTTTGGTGGGGATAAAAAAAATAAGATTAACTGGAGGAAAACAACCTTTTAAAAGTTAGTTAGCACCATCAGCTGTGGTGAGTCGAGCTACCAGATGGTAGACCTTTGGTGTTTGTGACACATGGCTCTGAGTGAAGCTACGGCCAGATAGCAGCCCAGCCCGAGATAATTGGAATTTCATTAAGGTTTTGTTTGTGTGTGAGTGTGCGTATATATGTGTGTGTGTGTGTGTGTGTGTGTGTGGAGTGTGTGCTGAGGGTGGGTGTGTTTCTCTCTATGAGCAATATTGAGGATGGGGTGTGGAGGCTGGGTTGGGGGGGCTCCACCTGCTGCCACCTGTTCATCTGCTCCTTCTTATAAAAGCTGCTCCCTGACTGTCTTCAGGACCACAGACACCTTGGACCCCTCCACTATCTGGACCTCGCAGCTTTGGACTCCAGGCTGTAACTTTGAGGAAGACCCTCTGAGGAACCCTGAAGCTGGAACTTCTCTGATAAATCTGTTGACTCGTGTCTGAGTCCGTCTGATCTGAGGACGATACGCCAGTTTTGATTCTTTCGAACCCGAGAGCCATGAAGTCTCGCCGACCAAGCTGCACCGACTCCGGCTCTGAGTCCTCAGATCTGGACTCCAAGAGCCCGGAGAAATACGAGACCGCCACGAGGCGACGTATGGCTGCCAACGCCAGAGAGAGGAAGAGGATGCAGGGTTTGAACACAGCCTTTGATCGGCTGCGTAAAGTGGTCCCCCAGTGGGGCCAGGACAAAAAACTGTCCAAGTACGAGACCCTACAGATGGCCCTCAGCTACATCATGGCCCTGAACCGGATCTTAACCGATGCCAGGAGGCACAACACTCCTCACAGGCAGTGGTTGGACCTGCAGTTTGACTGCGTGCAGCCTGAGAACTACCCGTGCCTCATGAGGTACGACTCCCCGACCGAACAGGAGTACATCCACTCGTCGTTCTCTTATGAGTTCGATGGACATCAGGTCCACGCGTAAACCTGCTGCCACGTGGCAGATTATCAGTCATGTTGTTGGACGTGAGTGACAATGTGAATATTCTTCAGTAAATACATTTGTATTGCATTATTTTCTTTTTGTATGATTTGACAATCAGAGAGGCTTCTATTTCAGTTTGAAGTGTTTTTTGTGTGTTTTTGCTAGGAAACAGCGATGTTGAGCATGTTTTTGTTCATAGCAATGACAGATATGTAGCGTTATTATAATGACCACTAGCAATGGTGTAATTCTATCAGTTATTTTGATATGGCCCTAAAATGTTGTGCAATGTTCAGTGGATTCTGAGAAAATCATTGTGGTCTTAGTTGCTTAAAGTCAACATGTAACTACTGTGTTAAAGTGTAAGAACGTGTTTGTAGAGTTGAAAAACTGGAGTTATTTTTCACATGCAGACCTCTATTTTGTTGAATTATAGTTTTTGATCAAAAAATAAAAAACTATTTTGTATGTAAAAGCATTTCTCTTGTTCTTTATTGTCTCTATCTGTTTTTAAATATTGCAACAGACTGTATGTAATGTTTATACTGTATCTACTGTATATAATTCCACTACAGTAAGTTACAAAGCTGATTACTTATTTACTAAATTTCCTTTTGCATCCTCAAAAACATCTGTAATTGCAAAATACACCCAGGACATACTGAAAAACATATACACAATAGTATATTTTACTGCATAATATTGTCATTTCAATAAAAACATACTCTTATTACTAGAAAGCTCTGGCATTTTTAACCCTCATAATCTCACTTTGTCTCCCGTGTGGTATTAAAAAAAGGGTTATAAAGGGAGAACAACTAATTTACAGCACATCCTTTGTTCTGTGTGTCAAGTTCTCAGTAGGAGTAATGGCAGGTCATGTCCGCTGCACTGCCTCGCTCTGCACCCCGGGGAATAAATCATCCTTTTGTCCTGAGCTCCTGCGCTCTGAGATAAGACACTTGTACGTCAGCGGGGGGACCAAAATCTAAACATTTAAAACACACTTAATTTGAAGGGATCAAGTACAGTTATTTAACTCTCTAATCTCAACATTTCTCTACAAAAAGAACACATGTGAAAGTATTAAACTGATTAAATTCTGCAACAGGACACTCCGACGTAAGAAGAGATAAATGCCAGATGATCCGCAACTGTCCATTGTTGGAGCCCCACGGCTACAGATTTAAATGGCAATCATCAGCCACTGAAAAAGTGATTGTTCCAGATTTGAAAAAGTTTGAATGGTGGCACAAGCCACAGCAAATTAAGGAAGGCTGTGTGCCAGATCCTGCCACGGCTTCAGAGGGGGAGCAGAAATTAAACTCTATTGTGTGGTAATGGCTGTGTGTAATCACTCTGTTCAGAGCAGCTGAAGCATGAACGCCCATTGCTGGACTCAAAATCTATTCTCTGCGTTGGAAGTATAAGACATCCGCAAGCGGTGCATTCACTGCTTATGATGCTAATGCAGTAGGTTTGGGTGTTGTTTGTATCTCATCTCATAGTCTAGTCTGTTTGGTTTAATGCTCAAAATAAACAAAGACATGAAGAGATTAATACGTA